GTGGTAGTATGGGTCACTTGGCCAATTTCCCTGCCTGCCTGGCTAGAACGGCTATATGCCAGAAATGCACCAGTGAGAAGGCACTATATCGATATTATTTTCTACTGACTATGACCACACTGAGGGCAGATCTACACTATGGGGTTAGGTTGACCTAAGTTAAGCAACTCTAGCAATGTGAATAAGTAGCTGGAGTCGATGTAGCTTAGATTGACTTATGTAGTGTCTACACCGCACTGGGCCAATGGGAGAAACTCTCCTGTTGACTTACCTTATGCTTCTCGTTCCAGTGGAATTCCGGAGTCGACAGGAGAGCGATCTGCGGCCAATTTAGCGGATCTTCACTAGACCCGCTAAATCGACCCCTGGTGGATCGATCGCCGCAGCGTCGATCCATGGTAAGTGTAGACAGTCTAGTTACATGGGAGATATAAGAACTCCTAGTGATAAAGTTCCTTTAGAATTGGGTATATTCTACTCTTCATCTTGGTGAGTTAAACATGGGAAAACTCATTGCTAGCAGGGGTTACGCATGGACTGCAGTGCAAATTGCAGGTCTAGATCTAGACTGCCACGCAGACTGGGTTGTTTGGATCTGGGGTTTCAAAAGCAAGCCATGAATTTTGGATCCAAATCCAAATTCCCACAAAGTTCTCAGTGTTTGGATCCATGTTACTGACTCAGGTTTGTTTCTTCATAGAGAAGATCCTGTACTCTTTGTGTTCATAAAGAATTTGGTGCAGAGTATTTTTCTTCTAGTCCACTTGAAATCTTCAAGGAAGGAACTAAGAAGTTGAGATTTATTCCTACTACAATTTCATACAGTGCCTTGTCAGTCAATAAAGGTACATTCTATATTGGAGAAACCAACCACTCTTGCACCAGCAGTGTCCGTTTGATGGTAGGTCAGCAGCCTTGCTATTACTATTTCCTGTTTTTCCCCCCCTTTCTTCCTAACCTCTCTGTGTAGGCCTGACCTTGTTCCCATTAAAGTTCATTAAAACTCTTCTTGACTTCAATAGAATCTAGGCCCCTAATTTGTTTCCCCCTCAGTTTAGATTTCAGTGTTCCTCAGGTAAGTCATTTACTCTTGGAAGTGGTGGTCTAATCCAGTGGCTCTCAAACTTTTTAGACTGTAACTCCCTGAATCTCTATTCTTCCTAGCCAGGATATAACTGCGCCTCTCCCATTTAACAGTATGGGAGGTGCAGAGTGGTGATGGCCCCTGAAAGCTTTTCATGACCACCAGATTGAGAACCCCTGTTCTAATCCAATGCAACATGCATTGTAATATACACGTGTCCCTATATTTATACATAATATGCAAGTCAATGAGAGGTGAGAGCTCTCAGCAGTTTGCAGGATTGAATCTCTGACATTCTAATATGACTACATATGACTTGCAAGAAACCTCTTCTTGTGTTAGATTATTTGTATACCACTGCCTTGCATTTTCTGTTACAGCTATTTCAATAGCTGAATAAAAAATTAAATGAGAAAAGGAACAGATTGAATTCGATACATGCTGAAAAATCATAACACCACAGGAGTCTGAACATAAATGTGTTACTAATCATGAAAGTTCCTGGAAGCCCGTGTGTGTATCTGGGCAGTAAGCTTAAAAAATGATGGAGCCAGATGGGCTGATGCCAATATGTTGGAATACCCAGCAAAACATATCTGAAGATCAAAGCAGCAAGTGGAATACGGAAACCCTTTCTAAACAGTGAAGTGTACATTTTTACTCCTATTGTAAATTTGCGACACCTCGTATTCAAATATTCACTTTATCATCTTAAACCTTACTTTGAATGCTCCATATTGGAATGACTCAGGCACATTGCTCAATGTAGAAAATGTATAGTTTATATTTTAAATTTAGTTACATTTATAAATGTTGTCCATAGTAATGTCATGACTGTGGGATTCATCTACATGCCTCAAAAACTAATCGGGGCACTGTGTTTCCATGAATGGTACCATTCAGACAGGCCTGCAGACTAAAATTCTCTAATTATTAACGGAACTCATCCTGATCAAACAGTTGCAGTGCAAGGGTCCCCTATCCCATCCTGCAAAAGTACCTCCGTCCTGATCTGGATGGACAAGCTTTAGGTGCATGTAAGGAGTTCAGATTCCATGGCCCATTGTAAGCTAATTCTTCAGTCATTCTAGTTTGCCAGTTTAGGGTACTAGTTGTTTTGATGCCTTTTTAGATGCGGACATCTGTCCTTCAGTACCTGGGCTCATGAACATGCACAGACCACAGAAATTTCCATTGTGTGGCACCAGCTGAAAAGTGATCTCAGCTTTCTGGAAGACCCTTGTAGTATCAGCATAATCTAACTCAGGTAATAAAGCACATGGTTCACAGAGCTGTAAAGGGAGAAAAATCTCTGTGTATGAAAGACACAGACCCTGGATTTACCAGCAAAATGAAGACTAAGCTTCAAAGGACGACAAACATGAAAAGATTATGGAAAGGCTTGCCATGAACCTATGGCAGCAGCTGGGAGACACTGAAGAAAATTAGAAGATACATCATATGTATGTGCATTTGACAATTGGTAAAAAAATTCATCTTGGCAAGGGGAGAGTGTGGGGTGGAAACGGCACCTTTTGGTGCCAGCAGGAACCATAGTGCTGTGGCTGGGGGAGATCTTAATTCCAAAAGGATAGCATTGCCAGCTTCCCTCGGAGGGATCCCCCTCAACAGCCTCTCTCCCGGGGTAGCTATGAAGTACCAGTTTCCAATTAAAGTTCTCGCCTCCTGGCATTACCTCTGTTCATTACATAAGGAGGCATGTATTTGGGGGATGGCACTACACAGTGCTTGTGGAGCAGCGGGAGGAAGAGTCTGAAGTGACATGACTTGAGTACGACCCATTTCCAAACTGCAGTTTGGGAAGCTCTGATGAGAAACACATGATTGAATCTTACAGACATTTAAGATGGTAATTCAAATGAATGGCCAATGGCAAAAGCTCTGGCACTTCCAAGCAACAAGATTTATTTGGACCATAGAGTAATCACTGGAGTTTCCTATCATCGTAGGAAACAACCGAACTACAACCTGCAGCAGCAGCTAACAATAAGAGTGCTGTCTCCATGCAAGGTTTTTCTCCCCAAGGCTGGATCCTTGAGGTTTAGGATGCATGTGTCATTGCAGGAAAGCAATCAAAAAAATCTGTGTGTGCTTCACCCTAGCAACTGATCATGGAGTCCTGCCTCCCTAGAGGCTCCTCCCCCTCTGACTACCAGGTGGCTGCTGTTAGTTTCCTGACTTACTCCTGAGTGCCTGCAGCCCTGCTGTCATTATTCCACCCTTGTGCACCGGGAAGTTCTATGTCAGGACTTCAACTTTCTGCTTGCGGGTATTCAGGTAAGGCCTGTTGCATGGCCTCATTTGTGAGGACCCAAAATCTATTACATGGTGGAATGTAATCTCACAAATTGAGTGGTGAAAGCCTTGTTGCTTGGGATACAAATGTAGCCAGGACAGAGCATTGGAAAACTTCCTGGAGAGAGCAGCCCTGCATTGCTGAGCAGGAGAGATTAGGAGATAGATTTAGCCAAATTAATCAGCTGAGTTTGTGTGACAGCTGCAATCTTGACTGACACAAAGGATTGAGCCAGGGACCTCCAGAGCTAAAACCATGAGCTGCTATTGGAGCCATGCTCCCTAGCTGAGAGCTGTAACAGACTTGTATCCTCTGGGCACCATGTGTGGCGGGTGAACCCCCCTTTTGGGGAGGCTCGCCCCCCGACCCCACCCCTTCTGCCCAAGCACACACCCCCATCTGCTGGAGCCCCAAGCCCCCGTGGCCGGAGGAGCCCTAAACCTGCCTCCCTGCGGCTGGAGGAGCCCCAGCAGGCCCAGCCCAGCTGTGCTGGTTGGCTCGAGCTCCCCGCGCTCCTGGCCTGACCCCACTCCAGCTGCCATGGGCCACCAGCCTGAGCCGCCACCGGCCCGAGACCCGAGCTGAGCTGAGCCCCCACCAGCTTCGGGGGAGAGGAGGAGCGAGGGCAGGGCCTTGGGACAGAGCATGAGCATGGCCACAGGCCTGGGATAGGCGAAGCTTAGCCTCCCCTGGCCTTTGATACCCACCGCCCATGTTGGGCACAGAGGGCGAACATACCACACTGCTCAGTGTGTTATGCTTGCATTGTGGCAGGCACTTCAAATATTCTCCTAGCCCTAATGCGTAGCAGACTGACGCCCAAGTTCACAGCCCTCCTCTCACATACCACCCTCTGCTCACATGTTTCAGTAGTGGAACGGTTCTTTCCTCAGACAACAAAACTCTCTCTGGAGAGAGCCAAATAAACACCCTTTCTACAGTGCTGCATAAATAGCCTTTTATAGCTGGAAACGAGGGGTACCATTAAGAGACAAGCTTAGGGGAAAAATCCAGTCAAACCTACCAGCCTTTAGGCCATGTCGGGAATGTTGTAACAGCCGCATGAAAGGTTCTGCGTAACCTCCTTCATACAGTGGCTCTTAACAATGAACGTCTAATAAATGTACAGTCTGCAAGAATTTACTATACAGTAACTAATCAGATTTATATCGTCACAAATGTCAACAGCTCTGCTTCTGTGATTTATAGCAGTCCTTAATTACAAGCTATACTAGGATATGAGATGTAGGACTCCAATTGTGCAGTGATGTTATACAATTGCACCTTGGTCATAGCGTTTTGGAACAACTACTTAGTAATGCTGTACAATCTGTAAGTGACCATTTTAAAAAATAAATCTTGACACCACTGTCATGCTAAGCATTACAACGAAATCCCAGAAGAAACCACTGTAGGAAATACTAGGGCTTATTATAACATAGAACAAGCCTCCCTCCTATTATAAAAGGAGTGTATACTGGGGTTTTCTGCATGAAAGCTTTTCATCAGTTTCCTAGTCAGGGCAATACCCTGCTTCCTATAGCCTAGAATAATGGAGTACGTTCAAGAGCAAATTATGGTTCTGCAAACGTTCATTACCTGGACACCGTGGGCAGCACAGCTGTGGCATGTGCACTGGAGTAGGGCAGTGTAGGCTTGGACATCTTATTCTGCTGCATAATACGTTCCCATTCTGGGGAAGGAATGCAACAATTAAATGCATGGATTGGGTATTGTGCCCTCTATTCTGCATTTAGGTATTATGGTGAAGACTGTTATGGGCCAGATTCTGATCTCAGTTACACCAGTGTAAGCCTGGGGTCACTCCACTGATTCCAGATTTACACTGTAGTAACTGAAATTAGAATGTGGAATAAATCCACAAAATAGCATAAATGCTTTCAAATCAAAGGGAGCATCTAGAAATGGGATCTCAACAATTTTCACTTGTGTATTCAAGTGTCTTTTGAGCCAAATTGTAATTAGAAACTGCTTTTCCAAGGCTAAGGGATATATAACGAATGACAGGTCTCTGAGGCACCTCCTGTTGAGGATTCATTTGAGAGCAAAAGAGATCATAGAGTCTGTAATTTTTAATTCTTCCACTAAACCTGCAGAGAGTCCTCTGTTCTCATTGTATTGATTCCCCAATAGGCAAAGAAAACCAGTTGGTAAATAGTTATTTTTCTAAGAAATATGAGCAGGATTTGGGAATAGGGTTAATTATTCATAATTAATGTAATATTCTGTTTGACCATATCTAGGTTTGATTTATAATTAAAGCACAGGGAATATTCAGTCTCCGATGTCTCTAAACCATCTATGTTACACCAGAAAAGACTATCCATGTTACTCAAGAAAACACTATCTATTTCAGATTTCCACTTCCCATCTTTAATTCATACCCTTAATTTAGCTATGAAAGCTGTTAATGTTTGTAAATAAGAAAGACTCTTCAACATGAACATTGATGCTGTGCTATGTTTGTGAATGATTGTAGTTTCTGGAGTAGCGTGAAATAAATCCATTTCAACTTCACATGGGCCATCAGAATACTATGAGACTGGTCCAGCCAATCAGTTTCCATTCGATTGGGCTCCAACACATACATTAGCATGCCTTGATATGGTCCCATCGCTATACAGAAACATTCCTTGTCATCATCATAAAGTGCAATTCCACTCTGAAAAATGACTCTAAAACTTTGTGTCTCAGTGATTCCAGATTGGATGTGCTGGGGTTGCAAAAAACAGGCCAGTCTTTTTGTTGTAAACTCTTTGGGGCACAGTGACTGTCATTTACTATAGGTCTGCACAGTGCCTTGCGTGATGGGACCCCACACCGATTGGTTCAGAGGCATTGCTGCAGTATAAATGTTAAATTCTCTGCTGATGTAAATGAGCCTACCTCCATTGGCTTTAATGGAGATTTTTGCCTATTTACATCAACAAAAAATTGACCCAAAATGGTGGGTTTTTTTGAATTACCAGCCATTCAAACTCAACCTGAGCTCTGAAAACCAAGCTAGAGTCTTTCCTTCTTGTGCATCATTAACATAATATGTTCTGCAGGCCAAGTGCTATCCTCAGCGACACCATTGCCTTCAGCGGGTTTACACTGTTGTAACTGATTAGAACGTAGTAAGCAATTCTGATTATGATAAACAAGGAATAATAGAATTCAGCTCCCTCTTTCTTAGCTGTGTCTGCACTGCTTAAAAAGTAGTAAACTTTTTAGACACTGACGGCTGCAGATTTGACTCTGAACACACACAGGAAGCAGCTCTATTGAGTAAGAAGGTGCCCTGTTTATAGAGTCACTTTTCAGAGTAGAATAATGATCTGGCTGTTTATAAACACTTCGCTTAACTGAACCTAACAGTCTGTGTGCAATTCTAACTCGACCTGACCCTGCCTTGTGGGAGATAATGACTTCTCTTTAGGTACTCTGCTTTACTTTGAACCCGTAAGCTTTTGCTTTTAAACAGGAACATGCAATCACTGTAAAACATGAAATACCAATTACTACTAATTTACTGCTGTATTTTCCCCCTTAAAATAAGAGCCTTCTCACTATAGGTCAACATTCAGGTGGCATTTCTTTGAGCTAAATCTTTGTCCAAGCATGAAGCTGGAGTAAATGGATGAGCACTGGGGATGTCCACAGGAAATCCTCCCATCCAGGCTGCAGAGTGGCTGTGCTTCTACTCCACAGCTACTTTTGCACCCCTGCAAAGAGGGGGAGGAGGGAATTGGCTGGTGGATCCATGTAGTCCTGGATCCACTGAGATGCAGGGAGCCACTTCTGGGCTCTGCTTGGTGGTGCACCTACCCTCTATGCGGCCATGTCAGGAATGTTGTAACCACCTCATGAAAGATCGTGCGTAGCCTCCTTCATAGGGTGGACATGGTCTTCTATCCTACTTCCACCCTCCCATATCCCTTTGCACCAGTTCTGTTGTCATTCAATCCATGTGTGTTTGTGGAAACAGGATTTTCCCCACATGAATCTTATGATGAATGGGTTTGCATGGAACATGGCAGTTCTCCTTTAATGTTAATATCTATGAGGCTCATACGCTGTTTGCATTCCACATGATTTCCTTTTCCTCCAGCTCGTCTAACTTCTTTCTAAAAATCACTGATTGATAATTTCTCTTCAGACACCTAAAGTCTCAAATTAATTTCCCCCAATCCCCACAATCGGGAAGGCACCACCCTTTAAGCAGTTTAATGAGCATTTTACCATTTATTGATTCAGAAGGATTTTTAAACATTCATGGAGGGTTAGCAAAAGTGAATGGAAAATCCTCATAACTTTAAAACTCTGGAGTGTTACATGTGTTAGTGATTCAAATCCCTGAACCGTGGTGGGTTTTCTGTATAGTCCTTTTAGAGCACTCAGGGAGAAATTCTGCCCTCCGATATGCCCCCCCAAGCTATCTGTCATGTTGCCAAGGGGTCTATCACTGTGGTATCTAAACATCAATCACCAACTGAAGGGGACCTGATCATGCCCTGAAACCCTATAACTTTAAAAAAGATACTTTCCCCCCTTTTCGATATGTTTCTGAGCAGCAGAAGGAGAAGATATACACCACTGCCAAGCTTGTGTGCTACTGTTTGTATGTGTGCATGAAAGTGAAGTAGCAGATTCTTTAGGATAAGTGCTGCACAGGGTCCAGTGTTTTATACTTGCAGGGGGATAAATGGTCAAAAAGAATTTATTGAGCACTAAAGATAGCAGACCAAACACAACATCTGGAGTGTCACGTGGTAGTGATTCAAATCCCTGAACCATAGTGGGTTTTGTGTTTAAAATGACTATAAAGCACTTTAAGGGACAAATTCTGCCCTCTGATATACTCCTCTCCCCCACCCCAGCTAACTGTCATGTTGCTAAGTGTCTATCACTGTGGTATCTAAACATCAATCACCAATTGAAGGGAGCCTAATCATACCCAGAAGGGCTCATCCTTTCATGTCAAAGCCAATTCTCCCAACTCCCCAACCCCTTCTTTTCTCCTCCTTCATTCTCCCTGCCTTTTCCTAGATTTTTATAAGTTGTGGCATCCCAGCCTAATTCCCCCAGTGCTCTGAGGGAGATTTCCTTACTGTGGGAATGCCTTACTGGAGAGGTTGGTGTTGCATTTAGATCTCAACACAATCTTGGGTTCAGTCTAATCTTCCATCCAAAACGGTGAGGACCATATGTGGATGCAGGATTCATATTAGTCAAGATTTAATGCAAAGAATATGTAAGGCTGATGCCTAGTTAAGGAGTCTCTTGCCTGTTCCATCACTGTAAAAGGCATGCATGATCTATGTATTTTTGCCAATATTGCCCTTCTCTGTTGAGGCAGGGGATCCCAGCTGTGGAATACCTTTTCACTCTGCAGTTGCTGTGGAAGCCAATGGGAGCTGGACACTATAGGAGAGCAGGATTGGGCCCCACTGCCGTGTAAATACAATGTAAGGACTTGTACTCAGTTAAGAACATGCTAGGAGTCACAAGAGCTAAACCTGAATTGACCTACCTCTGAGCAAAGACAGTTAACACAGTAAACGAGTCCATAGGGTTCTAGGTAGGGATGCCATCTTTCTCCTACACGGTACTTCTTATCTTGAAACACACAGTATGTCTCTGAATCTGTTAAAATAATATGGAATAGAAAGAGCGATGAATTAATAATCCCTTTCAGTGCAGGAAAGCAGTGGTAGCTGTGGTATCTCAATTAGGACTCTATGTAAACCTCAGGTAGCTGTGTTTGTTTAAGGTGCAAAGAAGTTCGTAAAGAATTCTACTTTTTCCTTTTCTTTGAGATCCCAATTTAAAAATGAATGCCTTCATACTGGATATCAGTTTCTAGCCAAGAAACCCACCAGGTTTCTGATGTGGTAGCTTTCAGACTGGGTTGATTCACCAGCCTTTCATATCCTAGAGACTTGGGTTCAAATCCTTTGTAAGTCACAAATGAAAGCGCTTAGTCCCTCAGCCTATTTCATAGTAAATAAAATGTTCCCAGCTCAAAGGCATGGCAGCAGTCTCTGCTCAGGACAGCAGAAGTGTTGAAGGACAGAATGAGGAAATGTGCATGTTCTATATTTCCATAGTTTAAGAACCAGATCAAACAGGAGCATGTCATGTTATTTGATACAGTGTCTTGATCTTATCTATGCAGCAGTGTGCAGGATATCTTTAGAGGCCTATTTCTCAGCAAAGGCCTCTAATTTCACAAGTATAGTTTTCCACTTGCAACTAACAGCAAACACAACTGGTACAATTTAGCTATCTACTTATGTGATGCTGCTTTGGTAAACGTTAATGTCAAGCTTCATGATAAATTATCACCCTTCTTAAAAACACATCTCCTAACAACACACAAATACTTGTCTCCCAAATGTTAGAATGAGAGTGGAATGTCCCTTAGCATTCAGTCTGCTAAAAGCAGGTAGCAAGATGCAGGGATTACTGGTAGCATGTGTAAAGTGATCTGCTTTCACTTCAGACAGCTGCATGGTGAATGACGCTTAGTGTCTGAAAAAGTAATGAGCTGAAGTTGCAACTGGAAGTTGCTGAATTTTCCTGTGCTGCCTCTGCTCTGGGCAAGGCTAATTTGCACAGGTCTTTCTTGTGAATAAGCTCAGGAGAGCAGAGACTGCCTTCTTTGGACCAATTCAGTTGATTTTTTGCTGCATCCCCTTGCTTAGGACAAGAAGCTGGGTTGGAAAGATTTGACACTCTGTCTGTGACGACTCCTTGAAGTGCAAGCACTGAGCTCAGACACAGGCCGAAAGAGCTGCACATGCAGGTAGAGAAAGGCACTAGGTGTCTCCTAGCAAGACCATAGTCTTCCTATAGATACTGGAGTGTGCTGTTAGTTACTCCTTCTGCTGTCACTCACTCTTTCTGAAATGTATTAACATCTCCCATGGATCATTTGGTTTCTAGAAATATTTCCATTGTCTTGTTTATGTTCCTTTCTATATATCGCACCAAGTTTTTGACAGTGCCTGGATCCTTAATTTTCTCAAAGACTATTTCATCTCTAACCCAGTTCATTCGTTTTTTGGAACACAACAGGTCTGCCTTGGAGGAGGTTTACACTGGCTGAAAACCTCAGCACAATAGACTTATGGATGGGACAAAATCCAGATAATCTGTTAGATGTTTATAGAGGTCACTAAAATGCAATTAAGCACACTCTGTATGCAGGACATTTGAAGTAAAACAGATCTGGCAGCTTGATGTGTTATGTTCTTTATGATGTGATGAAAACTGTACAGTTTTAGGGAAATAGACCACAATTTATTTTGATTTGATTTTACTAAATGAAAACAAGCAGACACATATTTTCTGTGTTAGGCTCATTTTAATGCAAAACTGTTGTTAAAGTTCTATTACATATAAAAATTTTATTTGACACACACAATTGATAGACAACAGGAAAACCCACATTTAGTTTAATATGATAGATGCATTATTCTTTTGAAGTTTACTTACGTTTTACTTGTTCCGATTTACCTCCATCTATGAAAAGGAGCCAGAGCACACAGGAAAAGATAAATCGAAAGTCCTCCAATCTCCATTTTTTCCTCATCTTTGCCAGCAAAAAGGAAAGAAAAATCCTTCAAAGGGCAGAATGTTGAGCTGCTGGGAAGAAAATGTGAAAAGATTTAAGACTGAAATCCTCTGGGACTACTTAAGATGAAGGTCTCCAATATGATTTCAACCAACATATAAAAATCGACAGCTGCCAGAAAACAAGACAAGACAAAACAAAACAACAGCAAAAAAAAGTCTATACAGATCTTTGTTTGGTGGAAACATTTTAGGCTTGAGATTAAATTGCTTCATTTGTGGAAAATGGACCACATTCCCTTTCATAAAAGGTGAAAAGTGGGTATTACATCTTATGAAGTCCTTCTCTGATTGCAAAGCAAAGAACTTGCAAAGTGTAAGCAGTCTAAATACTTAAAACCCTCTTTCACAAGAGAAATAGTTTGTTTAGAATCTTTTCCATGGACAGAATCAGATCTTTTGTATGTAAAGAAGGAAGTATGAATGTTGGTTGTAATGCCTTAGCTTTGCCATGGTAAGAGTAATCTGAACCTTGAATATATGTTAACCCTTTAATGTGCATTCCCATTTATTTCAGTAGGTTCAGGATTTCACCCCAAATTAATTCATCCCCCATCTCCTCTTATTTTGGGACTCCATAAAATTGATTGTTCAGGAGTTAACTCTTACCGTTTCCTTGAAACCTGTTTTAATAACCCCTGCATTCTGCAGTTTTATGCTGAAGGTACAATATGCAAATGACATGCCAGTCTTTATTCAGGCAGCTCTTTAATATCAACACCCTGTTAGCATGGAGCATAGTCATCAAGTATGCCTGGCCCTGAAACCTGCACTCATGGTGCCAGAACGCAAATTCTATTTGCCTTTTGTCTGACTTTTTCAAGATGGTCAGTCTCCTTAGAGTGAAAAGAGGAAACTGATCAAATTGTAATTAACATGGGTCTTTTTTAAAAAAAAAAATCCAATCTGGAACAATAAACTAATAAACTTGTGAACCACAATAAAGAAAATTATTGTCCCATTAAAAGGACGGTTGGGAATAATTTACAGTGTTATTCATGTGGGTTTCTTTAAACAGTCTCAGTATTGGTTTTCCTTATGAAAGTTTGAAAAGTAATTCACTGTTGGCGATTTAAACAATTATATAAACTTTTAAAAATATGTTCAAGTCATTTGACCTCTTTAGATAAGTCATCTGAAGATGACTTGTCAAAAATTGAATGCTGGACCCAAATTTCACAAGGTTTCAGTGATGCATTTTCAAAGCAGAAATATTTACTGTACATGTAAATTAAAAAATTAAGGACAATTTAGAGGAATTGAGAAGCACTGAGAAAAAACAACCCAAGTTCACCTTAAAATACTGTTTTTCAAATTCTCCTTAAAGAAACTAAACAAAATGCTTATACAAGCTACAAAGTAATCATTTTAAGTCATGTACTGATCAATAACACTTTTTAAACATCTATTCTTTCTGACTTGGGATTCTATAACAAGGGGCTGATAATATGGATGATTTGATCTATTATGTATGGTTTTTCTCTCTTATGCTATTTCTTCCACTCCCAGTCCCCAAAACAACACCAGAAGCATGACTATCTACCCTCCCCATTCAAAACCATACAACCACTCTGTCTACTCATCATTGACCTCTGGCTGGTAGTGTATAACCTCATTCTAAATAATTTAAAATGCATCTGAGAACATTCAAAAGCATAATGTAACTTTTAAAGGGTGCTCTTTACACAATAGCAAAATAGAATTTAAATTTCTTCTTGGGAACAAGAAATAAAATTTCATTTTAGGAACAAAAGTTCGTTATCATTTTTCCCCTCAATCTGTTCAGATCTCACAGGACATTTTCTAAGACAAATACTTTTAAAAAAACTTGTTTAAAATGAAAAAAATTGCAATTTAGTCTCAGTGTAACATGCCGGTATTCAGAGCAACAGTAGCATGCCTTAGATCACTAGAACTGGCAAAATGTGGGCATTTTAAATACTCCGACTTTTTTTGGCTGCTGTCTGGTTGTTTGAGCAAAAAATCTTTGTAAATGGAGCACCATTACTCCTCTTGGAGTCTTGGGAGCACTTTGATTGTTAGCTAGACTGGAAAGAACTCAGAAATGCTTTCATTTCAAAATGTCATTTCTTTAAACCCCATCTTGCTTAAAGGAATGTTAAATAGTACAATGAAATAGAGGAATTAACAATGGAAATTAAATGGATTTTTAATCTCTTTAATGTCAAACTCATTGTTACAATAAACCCAAGCACAGGTACTTTTAGCAATAAACACATTCCCTCTATTTTTGAGCAATATCCTCAGTTGAAAATATGCTGAGCTAATTAATTGCTATTAAAATTAACCTTTTTATTATCCATTATTGGTAGTCATCAGTGAGAACCCCATTGTTAATTAGCATTACCCAGGACTGAAACAAGGCAGAAAACAAAGCCCTATTTTCATGTCTTTTGATTTCCAATAAATCCCATTTAATAGCTAAAAATGACAGAGCATGGGTCCACACTTTATATTATTAAAAGGAAGCAGGAATGTTCAAAGAAAATTTGAATACATTTTTAAAGGTCAGTGACATGATCAATGTTATTACATGCAACTAGCCACCAAATATATTCAGATAAACTTTCTCCTAGAAGTTTAATCTGGTTAGTGAGCACAAGATGTAAATGGCAAGAAATGCAACACATTAGTTTAAGAAATGTCAGTCACGGATGGAGTGGCTTGCTGTCCTTTTGTAACATAAAAATGTACCACTGAGAACATACATTGTTGTTTTCTCATCGACAAAGTGCAGTAGGGGGGAAAGATTTCCTAGGCACTGCATTAGGCTTGTTTTCTTACAAGGGCAGCCAATTGTAATAAAAGCTAGTTTGATGCAGCCCTGGCCAGAGCACTGGCTTTTAATGGTTAAAGCCCGTATTACTCCTATAGGACACAGAGGACTGTGTAGCCTTTGCAGAGTTCTCAGCCCCCCACCCATAAGCGGGACGAAAGTTGAGTTCAAAGACTAACTTGAGCGGGGTCACCTGGGGCAAAGGGGAGCGGCTTGCCGAGTTCCCTAGCCGGTGAGCCCCATCCAGCCCTGCTCAGGGACACAGGGAAGCCAGCCCCCTGTGGCGGGCGGAAAAGGGGGCAAGCGAAGGGTATGTCACCTCCGGGAGACCGGAGCGGCAGCCCCCGGCCAAGCGGCAAGCGATCAGCAGCGAGGAGCCAGGTGGGGGGATCCCAAACGGGGCTCGGGTTCGGAGAGGACCAGCGGGCCCCGGTAGGTGTGTCGGTCCATGCCACAGCGCCCTGCTCTCTCTCAGTCCAGCCTTTCTCCTGCGGCCGCCTGAACACCCCCCCCGGTCCCTGCCTGGCTACGGGCGGAGGGGAGAGACGGGAACAAACCTGCTAAGAAGGCAGAAGCCGGAGGGCTGGTCAGTTTCCGCAGCAGCCGCTGGAGACTCAAGTGGCTCCCCCTGGAAATAGGCGAGGGGCTTTGGCTGGGCTGGAGGGGAGGGAGAGGCAGGGATCTCACCCCCCGTGACTCAGTAACAGCCCCGGTGCCATCGGGCCCCCCTTCTCTCCAGGAGCCGCGGCGATGGGGAGTTCTGGGTCCTATAAACCCCCGCCCCCCAAATGAGCCGGGGTGGGGGGGACAAGCCAAGAGCTGATGGAGAGTCCCGGGGAAGAGCTGCCCAGGGTCTGATGTTGCCCTGCTGGGGGGGGGAGGGAGAGAGAGGAGGGGCCTCTGCCACCTACTTTCCTTCCTCTTGCAGCTGCTCTGTGAAGGGCCGAAAGCCGGGAGCCCGGTGAGCTAGAGCTGGACCCAGCGCCTCGGAGGATGCTCTTAAATGAATCCCTCCCTGCACCCCCGCAGAGCCGGGAGCAGGAATGTAGCCAGAGCCCCGGGGATCCGCCTTCCCCTCCCACCCTCTCCTTTCTCTGCACCCCCCTCGCTTCTGCCTGGCATACAAGTGGTGATTGACAAAAGTTTGGGGTGGAGTTTGTTTGATTTGGGGGGTTGGGGGCGGGGCCGTCTAAGGGAGGCAGGAAAGTCAGTGCGGTAGGAAAACGAGCTCTTTGCATGGCAGGGATCTTAGAGCCTCTCCCCTCCCTCCCTCTGTGCAGGGAAGCTTCAAAAGATCCTCTCTACTCAAGTACACTTCACCCTGAGCTTAAAGGGGCCGCTTGCCCAGATCCTGGGACTAGTGTCCCCCCGTCCATTCACAAGCTTGCAGGGGACGGTGAGCCACAGGACAGGATGGTTCAGCTTTAAATGCTGGGTACTTCATTTCCAGAAAAGGAAAAACAAATTCTGCCTATCTTTAGGCAGCAACTGGCAATGGTCATAGTTTAATAGAAACCTATTAAATGTCTGTAGAAATTACTCTATACACTTAGATTTACTAGAGAATGAGATCCTGTCTGGGGGTGGGGATGGGGGGGGGTTGTAATCATATAGAATTCTATCACAGCACTAGACTTCACTAATACATTCTAAAGGATGGTTTAAAAATTAAAAACCATAGCAAGGTTCCCATTTTCTAACAAATTGTATAGGGCTTCCCCACAAGGCAAAGCTTTCAGTTCTGCTCAGTTTTCTTAGAGGTAGAAATATAAACCAAGCTGGCTCTGTAACAGGCTTTCCACACACACAGAGCGCAGATCGTTGCTGGACTGATTAAGTTATTGTTTGTTAGGATTTGTCAGGCACCCTTTTCTGATACTCATGGCCTGGTCTGGTTTATTGTGTTAGAAGGTTTCAAGGTCATACTGAAAATCTGTTGGAACTAAATTAAACCCATGACTCATGACATTACATGCTTGGTCAAACATTCTTGTTCGTCTTGTTGTAGCCCCTTTAACTAATAAGAAGAGATCAGCAAACCCTTGACAAATGATCTGAGAGAAAGGGTGAGGTATGAAAAGACATCATGGAGGGAAACAAATTACAGCCTATTTCCCCTTAGTTTTGTATAAGGGTATTTGGGAGTCTAATACTGCTGAGAGGTCACAAGTCTCCCTGGACTTCAGTAAATCCCATAAAATTGAAAACCGAGTGC